GCGCAGGAGGTTTGGGTAATGAGGTTGCTAGAGAATTGCTCGAATGCTACTACTGGACACGTACATTCAAGTTTGCCCATCACGAGCTCTTTCTGCTCAAATCGTTTCTTGAAACGGATGGTTTCGGGCTGGGAATGATTCCAGCGCATTATGCAAGACGCTTGCACATACAGATTCGGCCGCTTGACTTTGCGTTTCTGTTGCCGGAGAAGCGGCTGTTTGAAGAGCGGCGGTATTGCAAAACCATTGAGGGCCTCACTGTCATCAAGACCGCTCGAACTGAGGTCGTAATCGAAGTCGATTTAGCGCAAGGGTCTCTGGGAGATGGTGATTACGAGCGCTTCTCCTACGAAGCTGCGCAGTTCATGCTGAAGATAGGAAGTGTGGTAGAGACTCTCAGAGGGACGGGACTGCGCATAAATCTAGCGACCGTGTGACGTCGAATTTCAAAGGTCATCCGCATATCTTTGATTTTATGAAGCATATACTTTACATTAGCGTAGGAGTCAATAGATGAATCAGGACGCTTGTGCTTATAGGTGGTGCAGCTGTCTTTTGTGTGCTCCTTCTGATATGATCGGTATAATTTTGACCTCTGCAAGAAGTTTTGGTGGCGTGGCCAGGCGTAATTAGGCTTGCCGTGTTTCGTCTCTTATTGCTGCCATGCGATCCGTGGCTAGGCAATGGCTTCCGGCCCGCACGAAGGCCGAAAATGATCCCCGAGCGACACCATCAGTGGATGCCTTTGATTGGACGCTATTGTGAGCTTCAAGGGATGATGAGTTGAGATGGAAAGCTGGTGTTGGTGAAAGGACTTCGATGGAAGCTGCGTTGAGGTGAGCGAAAGGATACATGCGCTAGCCAGTGACAGGGGCCAAAAGGATCGCGACTCCTCTCCACCAGCGCAGCTTGGCTTAAGCCACGATGCAACGCCATGACGATCGGCCAATCCCAGCATCTCAATTCTAGAGCCTAGACTGATCATTTTCATCTCGCAGAAGGGACGACGCGATAAACGCACGTTTCATGCGCTGTACGTAATTGTCAACTGCTATCGCAATGCCTCCATTATTCGTTCACACTAGAAGCTCCAGATAAATTCCAGCATCTATAGACCATATATGCTGTCTTTGTCGAAGAACACAAGTACTGCTTCACTACCCCTCACGTTCACTACAGCATCTGTCCCAACCGCTTCAACAACCACATTGCCCATCGGCTCACCCTGAGGAAATGACTGCCCAGCCCAAGATGTCAAGGAGCTATTCCCAGTGTTCACGAATGGTGCCGTCAATCTCTTTACACCTAAGCATCCGCCGTCGGAACCCACAGCGCCCGATAGATCAACATGTACAGAGAAGTTATCTGTCGAGTTGGCGTAGAAAGGCTTCATATTGACGAGTGCTAGCTTGGATAGGTGATCGTCAACGTAGAACGCATATGCAGAGAACGACTCTGGATCAACGCCAGCAGGTGGTTCGAGAGCACGAACCCGAGTGTCAGGCACAGCAAAGGCCTCAGCCATGAATAGCTGCGCGAGGAAAGAGGGCAGAGTTCGTGCCGGGCCTCTCAACTCGGTGTCGCGAGGGTACAGCACTGAATAAGTGCTGAAACCTGGACTACCATTTGCACCGGGCGTGTTGAGCTGTTCGTCCGACTGAAGGGCAAGCGTAGCACCCTGATGTAGATGCGTGGAACTGGCATTCCTTGTCGCGTATATTAACTCGCTATCAATGACCCAGAGTGCTTGCGCAAATGTGTCGGTGACGTTTGGTGCACCGGAGCAAGAGACGGAGTTGAACTCGCCAATGTTCCAGTTGTTTCCAGCATCGAGAGCAGCGCGGGCAGACGGGTAAATTTCTTCATCGCAGTAGCGTGTGAGCTCGGTATGATTGAGGATGTTCTCGATGGTGGCCAAGGCGGCGCGTTCTGGATCGCAGGTTGAGAAGGCATACGAATGTATCGAATATATGCCAACCTGATCTTCTGAGTCGATGCCTGCAGGGATGAGTGCTGCAGGTCGAACCTCTAGGCCTGAGTCATCAGTCGTGGCGGAAGATGCCCACCAGCGCTCTTGAGGAAGATCTGAACTGTTCAAAGCATCCAGCGCGGTATCGATACTAGCTGTGTACTGTTTCCATTGCTGCACATAGGCTGCAGTCGAATCGTTCCACCGGCTCTCGTCATAGTTGGTCGGCTCGTTACCAAGCTCAAGGTACGCGACCTTGTCGGATTGATAGGTAAGCGATGCGACTGCAAGGCCTGTAGAGATTTCCAAACTCTCATTACCGAAGTTGAGAGTTGAGATGAACCTGGTGCCATTGGGGAAATTACTCCAACTCTTGTAGTAGTCAGGTCCAACAGTGGTCCGCCATACGCCGCCTTCCGGACTAGTGGTACGCACCACGTCGCCACCGTCTGCGTCGAATATCATGCTGTCCATGGTAATGCCGCCAGGTCGGATGACAGGACTTCCACCATGCTCATGGATCCTGTTCAAGACACTGAAAGTAAGGTTGTTGGGAGTACTAGCATTACCGAAGAATTCAACCCAGAAGGCAGGTTCGAATGAGAATGAGGCAAAGGAGTTGCTATGTGGTATCGAAGCACCTTCTGCTGTCTTTGGTACGCTTAGGCATCCAGCTCCGGAGTGATCCGTCGTCGGGTATGCATAGACAACGGATGCTGCGAGGGAGATGACGGCGACTCTGAGTGAGGCCATTATGGAAGTATTGAGGTCGTTGGTGGTTTATGGAGGTAGCCGTACCATGTTCTCACGGCTACTTGAGCTTCATATGCCATCAGAAGCTATGACAGAAAGCACATCGACATCATCGTGCCTCTCTTTCTAGGCTAAAGCGGACGCGATTATTCCGACGGCCGCGAGATGTTCCACTGAGTTGCCGGAAAGGTTGCTGAAATGGTCCTAGAAGATGTGGGGAGGCTGCGGGGAATTGGCGGATCGTCGGGCTCGCTCCATAGCGGGGGCAAAAGTCGGGTTTAGCAACAAAGGGCTAAAACCATAGCACTAATCACCCGCTCATGAACCTGCGATACATCCTGATAGAGGCCGAGTTCGCTAGTGCACAGGGATCTTCTATCCTGTTTTTCTAATCTGCCATTATTCAACCATGTTGTCAGCTCGACATTCTGAGTAGAATCACCAGGCAGCGGAGCATGGTAGACAGAGTCCAGAAACGCGTTCTTGCTGTATCCATAGAACAGAGATTAAAAGCCGTGTATTGGTAACAGATATCGATCGGCTCGGATTAGTACTATTTCGTGCCCACGGCACCGTGCGGAACACCCGTCCTTCTCCGCATCATGACCTCACCCATAGCATTCCTCACCTCCTTCTCCTGATGCACCACGTTCTGCACCATGTACTTCTTAAGTGCTTCCCTCAGCTCGCCCTTTGCCCTCTCGTTATCCCTATATGGCACGCTTTCGAGCTCCAGCAGTCTGTTCGCATCCTTATTACTCTCCGCAACAAGCGCGCTGAGACGATCAAGCTGCTTGTGGCGAGTGTCTTCGGTATCGTCGTTGGTTTTAGCGGTATGTTGAGGGTCGCTTCGGTAAAGTGGCATGAGCAGACCGAGAAACTGCGTAAGAGAGATCGCAGCTTTCTTCAATATCGTGATGATTTGAAAGGGTAGGTATGGGGGACGCAGGTTGGTTCTTGCGACGAACGGGTTCAAGTATTTCGAGAGAAAGGTGGGGTAATCTGGACGAAGAGCGGTACGGATTTCGAAAGTCGCAACAGCGAGAAGTCCTAGGTAGCGCCAGTATGACCCGTCTGTTAGGAAGCCGAGAGCGTTTGCGCCAACTAGAATGATGAAGAGTACGCCGTATGTGGTAGCGGTAGTGAGCAGCGCACTGTCTGTGTAGTCCTTGATAGTCAAACAGCTCTGGCATTGCGCAAAGATGCTTGGTCCGAAGCGGTCATATGCGAATCGCTTTACAGGATCCATTATGATGTCCTTGGCTCGCTTCAGATGAACATAGAAGTCATTTGCCCTCTCTCTATCCACGTTCGGCCCAATCTTATCTGGGTGGTATCGAATCGTCAGCCTCCTGAATCGCGTATTCAGTGCGCTCTCGTCGACGTCTAGCGGTACACCAAGGTCGTTGTATGCATTGCTAGAGCGCTGCAAGTTGAAGTCGACTTCGTAAATGGTGAAGGCGAAGTAGGCGGCGTAGATGGCGATCAAGATGTTGCGGCGGTGCTTTATGAAGCGCGGAGTGCCGGGCTGCGGTTTCGGGTCGCCAGCGCGAATGAAGATGCTGTAGAGAATGGACTGGGCCCATCCCGCTGCCTGTGTCGCGTTAGATATTGCCGTGCCGCAGGTGTGAGGGCTAGCTTACGACGGGAATGAGAAACTGCCACACTAGGAAAGGACCCAGAGTGTCAAATGACACGTTCGATATCGCCATAGTGCTCGGTCACTGGTGTGGGAACATGAGGACGCAAGGTCGCAGTATCGAAGAGTGGAATGGAAGCCAAGTGTCATCGAGGCGCGCGTTCGGAACGTTCCGAGCACTACCGAGGCACGTGCGTTCGCCGCAGCACCTTGAAGTCCCGACAGAACTACATGGTCTCATGAGGTGTGCCACACATACACAAGAATTGTTTTGGTAGGATACAACTAACTTTGCGGAAATGAGGACTCATTGGGTGACTTGTATCGACTGATACAAAAAGCCTGACAACATTCAAGCACTATAGGTAAGATTGCTCCCGTATTATGACGAGACACCTTCAACACCAGCGAAGAAAAGATTGCGCCTTCGACTTGAGACAGGGGTCTGTATTTGTTTGGTACTGTTAGTGAAGTCACACTATGGTATTCGTGATGGTTTTCATACTTAGGTAGGTAGGTAACTGTTCAAGGTTGAGTCAATTGATTTCACTCGCCCACAACACACAAATACACACAAGCATCGTGGAAACCTTTCACCCAGCGACAGACACTATACAAGACCCGTGGATACTTTGCAGAATGACCACTGCCAGCGATATCGACAAGGCCTTCACTAAGGCGTTGAACGAAGCAGGCAGTTTCTGCAACAAGGACCGCCTGGACAAATGTACCGAAATGGCCCGCGCCCTTCTCGCTCATAAGTCTACATCACGACACCATCGTATGAAAGCGCTCATGTTATTGGCTTCAACACTGGGTGACTGGGAAGACGCGAACAACTGTCGCGTGGAGGCGGAGACGCTGTGGCGTGCACATAGGCGTCGGCATCCAGAGGGCGAGAATGCTGCACTCGATAGGTACACGGACGAGCTGCGCGGATTTTTAGACGAAGTGGGTGTTGAGTTGGAGCGGACTAAGCATGGAGACTACGAGTCGGAAGATGACGATGCTGCGGCGCACGAGGTAAGCTCTAGTTACACGATGTGCATGTGAGACATGCTGACTTCGTACCTCTACTTCTGCAGGAGCATGTGAAGGATGCGACTGACGCCATGGAGACCCTTAAAATGACCGACAATGAGATGGAAGAATAACCGCTTGTCGGTGTCCCCGCTACCGAGGTTGCTGCGCTTACCGATGATGTTCCCGCTATCAAGATTGCTCCGCCTGCCGAAGGTGGAAGTGAGACTGCAGATGGTGCTGAACCTCAGGCTCCCCAGGGCCAAGGATGAAAATGTATGCCCGGACCTTTGTCAAATACCTACTCCACTGCTTCACTGCTACCTTACTTCCCTGCTTACTATATCGCAGCCTCGAAATCTGGCGCTGCGCATCGATGCTGGTCTTGCAAATGCTCGATCGTGGTCGTCGGCCTCACCTGCGCTGAGTCCGAACACGCCAACATGGCAGCCGACTGGTACTTGTAAGCTTTCCTCCCCAAGCCCGCCTGCATCTAGGTAGGAGCAATTGTACTGATGGTTCATCAGGGCGTGCGCGTTCAAGGGTGGAGGAGACATAATGTAGTGAGAACAGTCATAGAATTCTATGGTTGACGACATCTGTCGATCAATGGTATAAAGCGATGCTATGCAATTAGAAACAAAACGAAACTCGCGCATTCCTTAGACATGCGACGTAGCAAATTCCTCCATGCATCTCAAGCCTAGATGGGTGACGTTTGTGCGTCGGGTATAGTTCCTCCAGGCATAATGCATAACAAGTAACGACTCAACGATACCGTAGCGCACACAGCGCGCTCATTCGCAATCATGTACGACCAGCGCTCGTATCTTCGTCTTGCAACATTTCAGATCTTACATCTGACCTCCGGCCTGAGGCATCAGCTCCTCGTCTTGCTGACGCTTCTCCTTGAGCGATCCAGCAGCCGAGCGGTTCTCGACGTCGCTGTCGGAGAGGTCGTATTGGCGAACGGCTTCGGCGATCTGAGCCTCGTCCATCTTGGGGAGCTGCTTGGCGGCTTGCACGTAGCTCATCTTCTCGGTGTAACCCTTGGCGAAAATGAGGTCAATTTCCTCGAGGGAACGACCAGCAGTCTCAGGGTAGAAGAAGTAGATGACGGGGATGAAGGATGCGTTGAGTGCGGCAAAGAGGAGGTAAGTTCCCCAACCAATGTTGGTGATCAAGACGGGTGTGATCATGACAATGAAGAAGTTCCAGAGCTAAAAATGAAGTCAGTACATGTCTCAGGAGCAGGGAAACAGGCTATACGAACCCAGTTATTAATGGTCGAGAAAGCATTGGCCTTCTGGCGGGTCTTGAGGGGGTTGATTTCGGCTGGGTACAACCAGGGAAGTGGGAGCCACGTGACACCGAAGAAGGCGATGTACAAGAACAGACCAACGGCAGCACCCTTGGCAGGTCCCTCGTTGTCAACGTTGTTCACGCCACCGGGGAGCAGGCAGGCAAAGGTGATGATCATGGCAGTCATCTGACCGACGGTACCAATGAGGTACAACTTTCTGCGGCCGACACGCTCAACGAAGTAGAAAGAGGTAGCGGCGAACATAGCGTAAACAATCATGTTGACACCTCCGAGAAGAAGGGCGAGGTTGTGGTCGGTGTTCAAGGCGCTCTGGCACAGAATGGGGAAGTAGTAGATGACAGCATTGCAACCAGACAATTGTTGCATGAATTGCGAGGAAGCACCGAGGATAGCACGACGGAAGTGCTGGGACTTGCCGCCGGTAAGAAGAGCCTTGGTAGGGACCTTGCCGCCGCCACCAGATGCGTTGACTGCATCGCGAATGACTTGCATCTGGACAATGACCTCTTGGTCGTCGCGGGCAACACCGTTGAGACCAGCCAGTACAGTAGCGGCTTCGTCTTCGTGATGGTGGTTGAGGAGCCATCGAGGAGATTCGGGAAGCGAAATCATCATGACGATGACGATGAGAGCGAAAACACACTGGAAAGCAATGGGGAATCTCCAGGTGAAGTCATCGGGACCGTAGAGACAGCCGTAATCGATCCAGTAGGCGATGAGCGTGCCAATGGCAACCATGGAACCCTCGATGCAAATAACTTTACCGCGGTTCTTGGCCTTGCAGCACCTAGAAATAGTCAGTAATTGTTTGAAAGAGCAGGTTTTGGCTCGACGTACTCAGCTTGGTAGGTAGGAATGGTAGAAGTGTTGATACCGTTTCCAACACCAGTGATGCATCGTCCGACAATGAACTGGGCGGTAGCGCCACTGTTGGGAGGAACGCAGGCGATCTGGATGATGACACCGACGATCATAACTCCGGCACCCAGGAAGATACTCTTGCGACGTCCGAGCTTGTCACCGAAGACGAAGACGAAGATGGCACCAAGCAGACAACCGACGGCATAGATGGAGACGACGAAACCCTCGTAGGTGGAGTCATCCTTGACTTCAGGGAACGCATCTTGGAAGGCGGGAGCAGAGATGATTCCACTCATGACACCCTGGTCATAACCGAAGAGTAGGAAGTCGGTAACAGCAACGATGGTGATGAGAACCTGGAGGGCCCTGCCGGACTTGCCCCAGTAGGTGGGAACACCATTTTCGGACTCCTTGATACGTGGCGGCATGGTTGCGTTGTATCGATGGAAACTGGAGAGGAGTGAGGAGATGCTGGGGAGGAAAGATCCGTGGGGAGAGAGTAGAGCTTTAAATGATCATCGTCCGTTGCGTACAAGGGTGTTCGGCAGAAACGTGGTTACTGGTCGTCTACCCTCGGCCCACTAAAAGATACGCTACCAAGATTCCGACTGACGCGTGGAGAAAACTAGATAACGATTTTTTTCCAACATCTTGGCCTTGGCTGGTGTAGCAGTATGCGAGCCTGAGGTGCGGACGGTAGAGGCGCAAATAAACTGTGGATACAAAGGCGAACCTAACAGGGTCTGTTGGTGGAGCAAGCCATCTTGGGCCAATCTTGGAGAAGAGCGGAGGACGCTTGCAGTCCAACAAGCGCGCTCGGCACAGCATGTCTCTGCTCCTAGCCCGAGGTTACCTCCACATTACGTCATGTGCGCAGGGCTTGGGGTCAGCCTGGGGAAGACGCAGGTGAAACGACTGGTGAACGATGGGTTCGCCAGTCAGCACAGAAGGCTGGAAGAAGTTTCTTCGCCGCCTACGCCACCCGCAACCGCCTGTCAAAATCTACGGTACGCATGTCAAGATGATGCAGGAACTTCGTCGTCGACTGGACACCGGTGTAGGTCAAAGGCACCATCTCGGGCTACATGCCGCCGTGTACGGATAGCGTGCTAATTCCTCCCATAAGGCACGGTTTCAGTCTCAACAAGAGGGCGCTTGACGTCATGCACCGGCGACTCGCGTCCGTCCCCATGCAGGGTCTGACCAACCGTGCGCATGCGGCTCTGCAGCCTTTGCAGCTTGGCCGATGATCTTAACTAATAGAGACTGCAGTTGGTGGAGCTTGAACACGCCATGCGCTGCAACGGTGACGATGGTTGCTGTGATGGTCGATGGTCGGCTGTACTTCCTGGGATGGAGTGCAGCAACGTCGGGCGGCACTGCCGGCCGGGAGACGATTCGACGCACGTGATAGCGGCATCTCTCGAGACATTCAGATTAAGTTGCTATACAGCCGAGGATTTGCCCAGGCTTTCGGGAGCGCACTTGGTTTGCTGACACTCCTCCTACATATTCTCGCCGTGCGGTCGATCAGCTTGGTCGCGCCGTGGATGCTGCTCGGTAGGCGCGGTCGCGTTTTCTGCCATGGCGGGACAAATTGCCAATGCATGCTTGGTAGTCGGGAGAGGCTCGTGTGGAGTTCACAAGCCTAGCGTGGGGATGAGGCTGACATGTGCCCGGGCATTGTCTTGCAGATCTCGGGCCTTCCTGTTTCGGGACATCCGGGCGCATTTCACTGACCCAGCTCCTTTCTCGTCACGCAGGCAGGAGTAAACAGCGGCAGCAACACCACCGAAAGCAGTCCTCGCAGCCTATGAAAGTGCTTCATACCGACAAGTCTACCCCAGGATCCAGCTAAACTGCGCCGATCTCTCCAGTACCCCATCAATCCGCCCCAAATCTTGCTCCCGCAAGCATTCCACATGCCGGAAAAGACGGCTCTCATATCGTGTGCTAAAACACACCAAACGCCCCAACGACGTGGTAACTCCACATATAACAGCCAACCCCAATTTTATGTCGCTTTCGGGGCCTACTACACCGCACTCTCGCTCAAGTCCCTGCCAAGCGGCACACACTCCAGTCTGTCACCGGAACCGCCGTCTAATGTCGGGGTCTCCGCTTTATGCAAATGCCGTATTGATAATCACACTGATAATCACACTCCACTTTTCCATCACTCCCTCCAACGCAGGGTCGTTCCAAAATCCGCCAATTACTGTTGAATATGCATCATCATCGTGAGGGACCTCCACCGAGTTGCTGTTTTGATCCCACTTGGTTACCATCGTCGACCCCATTGCCAGGACTCTGGGACTGGGGAAAACGGCGGAGATCAAATTCAAGAACGTTTTGCTACGATCCCTAGCTCTTGCGTCTCGGTTCGATGCGAAGGTTATGTTGACAGATCCACTGTATTTCAGCCGCATAAAGGCGTCCTACTGCCCCGACTGATTCGACCTCCGACTTGCCATCGGAGCGACTTAGTCAACCCGATCCCAAGACCTAACCTCCGTACCAAGGATGCTGCCAATGTCCGATAAATCCATCCGACGTCCCAAGATAGTGTGGGGATCCCACCATCTCCAGGATCTACTCCTCCTCAACAGTCATGTGTCCCACCATCGCTAAAGTCACCAGGTCCCTCGTGCATTGCCCAGGTCGTCGCCAATGCTAGTCGCAGGACAGCGGGCCCACGGACGGACTAGAGTTGGGTCTGGGGGCCTTTCATCTCTGGAGTTGGTCGTGAGTCGTTTCCCCGTCTATTGAACCGAGGCGGCTCCTCGGTGTAGCTGGCGTGTCTCTTTCTACCCCTAGAAGAACACCCCTTCTGAGTCTACGAATGTCCAAAGTCGCTCGTACTTCCCATATGCTTCATTCTATCTGCGAAGTCCTTTCTTCCTTGACTTCACTCCAGCCCGTTTCCTTCGTTTTCGAGATCGCAAGGCA